AGCCCTGAGGCCGGAGCTTACCATCTAGCTCACGCTGCAAATTTCAGATCCGAAAAACTATACTAATTAGCCAAGCCACGATTCGCAAACACGCAGAAGCGACCCTAACAGAAACTCGGGCCACCTGAATCCATTTGCTAGTTATAAGCAGGGTTATAAGTAGGGTAACTATACTTATTTTCCATATTAGGGGACTTATAACCCTACTTATAGCATGAAGCCCAGCCACCTGGAGGCCTTCTCACAGGATGTCGTGGCCGCATTCTGGGTGATGATGTCCTGTGGGCTACGCTTGGTCTAGGTAGGGTTGAGGAGCCAACACTGAAACTGCATCCCGCAACCCTGAACCCTACCCCCAGGGAAACAAGAAAGGACACATAACACTCAGGGTTCCGGGATGCAGGCTCTAGACGGTCTTCGGGTTTCAAGGCATAGAGGCTGCAGGGGGTGGGCTATGCAAGCGACAGCTTGCAGCCCAAGGGGCTTTAGGGTCTACTATAGGGGCCGCGATAATTAGAATAGGGTTTTGGGGCCCATTGCAGTATTAATGGAATAAGGAACCCCCAAAATAGCATTGGTAATGATTTCGGCCCCTATATTAGGGTTTCCTCCAATCACGAATGTCAGAAGGTGGCAGTGGATCCAGCGATTGTTGTGGATGTTGCTACCACAGACTGCACAGCTTTCCCTGCAGCCCGTCGACGACACCCTATCATCCACATCAGCTGCCGAAAACTCTCAGCTCTCAGCCCAAGAACTCTAACCGACAACATCTTCACAGGTACATACACATGTAGATGCACGTGCCATGCACAGAATGTGCAGTAAAATATGGCACTGTGAACACCGAAACCCCAAGAGAGGCCCTAAAAGCCCTCAACCCTGAACCCCAGACGAGGTTTAGGCTAGGGTTTAGGGTTTAGGGTTTATGGTATAGGGTCTATGGTTTAGGGTTTACGGTATAGGGTTTAGGGTATAGGGTTTATGGTGACCCAGAAAGCCCGCCTTCTGCAGCCCCGGGCTGCATCTGAGGAGCTCCAGCGCAGAGCGCCAACTGCGAGACGCAGCACAGACACTGAGGGCCTCGGCACTCAGGGGCTTTCAAGACCTGAAACTAACCCTCCTCTAGTATTAAAGGGACCCTATGGTAGCTCTCATACACCCTTATGGCCTTTTGTTGTGGTTGTCTGAAATTTGCTGTAACATTTGAATTATCACAGGACCTCACAGTAGAACTGAGTGGGATGAGTGATAGTTGTATGGCAATCCTCTTGCTTCAATGAGTAATGGTCTTCTGCTGTCTCAAATTTCTTGGCTTCCTCCTGCTCTGTTGGACGAAAGCTTCGGCCCGCAGCTTCGGGAACCCAGAGCTGGTAGAGTTTAGGGTTTAGGGTTTAGGGTATAGAGGCCGGAATAATTAGCAATCGCACCCCGTCAAAGTTCCTAATCTAATTACTGATCGTACCATATAAACCCCAGCACCCTATGTAAAGCCCCAGTCTACTTGCTTCCCCCGCCACTAAATTCGCCTTAAGCCCGCAACTCTCAACCATACAAGGGTTCTCAGCGAGTTAATCTTACAGCGGGGTCTTGAGGGGCCGTCAATAGTACATTCGGGTTTTGGGAGGACGGTATACAGGTGTATAGACGTTTTAGAGGGCTGATGTAATGAATGCTACTTGTTACCTAGGTTTCTGCTGCTTCTTCATTCTTCAGGGTTCAGAAAACCCTCGCTCCCAAAGAGCCCGAAATTCGGGCGACTGCCGCCGAAACAACGCGAAGTTCCTTCTTTGGCCGCCCAAAAGGAGGTCGGCGAGAGCGTCACTCAGAGGGCTTGGCCTTCTTGGAGGTTCAGAGGTTCATGGGTCGTTATAAGTAGGGTTAAAGTTGGGTAAGGGTAACTATACCTATAACCCAATATCATGGGACTTATACCTCCACTTATAACTACCCATGCAACCTCCATAAGTCCCATGATATTGGGTTATAGGTAGAGTTACCCTATTTATAACCCCCCTTATAACTACCCATGGAACCTCCAAGTTGGGGCACCGGCCTGGAGGGCCCGCAGGCGTAAGTTTCCTCTGCTCTCGAAGGTCGTGGCACTGCTGACGCCGCTTGTTCTGGAGGCGCTTGGAACGCTTGGCGCCCTTAAACTTGTCCTGCCAGCTTTGCCACGAGATCTTAAGAATCTTGTTGGCAGCTGAGCAGGGAGACGCTTGGAGAACACTCAAACGAGCACAGCGGTTGCAAGCGCGGCAGGTGTGGCAAGTCATCTTGGCACCTGACTCAAGAGTCCTCGAGCAAGGGTTGTCAAAGTCAGGGTCACTAGCGGCCTTGAGCCACTTACCCCGAAGGCGCTTGCGGCACTTGACAATCCTGTCATCGGCGGTTTTCCTGCGGAGGGCAAGGTTGCCGATGGCAATGTAGGTACCTGATTGAAAAACCCTGGCCCTATAACCCCAAGATTGTAGACTGCAGCTAAAGAACATTAAGCCCAAGGTTTCTTAATCAGGTTCCTACATTCAACCAACATAAAGCCTAAACCCCTAAACCCCTTAACCCCAAACCCAAAAGGCCCTGGCTGAAAAAAGCCAAGACCCTGAAGAATCCTCAGCTCTCAACTGGCACCTGAACCCGGATAAAGCTCTAAACTCTCCTAAGTTTATGGTTTAGGGTTTAGGGTTGTTTTATCCCTCCTACCTAGCAAGGATGAAGCCCGCATTGGGTTTAGGGATTAGGGTTTAGGGTTTAGGGATTCATGATTAGGGTTGAGGATTTCGGGATTAGGGTTGGGTCTCTAGAGGCAGCAGCAGCAGCCATTGAAATCCTAACCGCAAGCTCCACATCTCGAGCCGGCGGCCGCATTGCAATGTACCAGATTCCGCTGCAGCTCAACTCTTCTGGTGTCCTGACAGACGTTGAATCTTAGGCTTGGGATCTTGGTGTTACGGTTAAGGGTTTAGGGTTTCACGGTTTAGGGTTTAAGGCCCTAGGTTAGGGCGGGCACAGGGGCCATAAATGAACTAAGAGTAAGTCTTGGAAGTTGGCTTCCGTTAGAAGCCGACATTGCTGTAAACCCTACACCCAACAATTCCTAAGCTAACCCAACTCGGAAAAAACCAAAACTCGGCGTCTTCAGCTTCTCTGGGATTTCGGGTTTCGGGTGAAGCACGGATTCAATTCAGGTTTTCGGGCACATAAACCTGTAAATATAGTGAGGAACCCGATCGACAAGCTTTCGACATTTAAAATCTAGGCATGAGTTGTATACAGTTTGGGGTTTCAGCTTCACGGCCTAGAGCTTCTATGAGCTTCTTTTTCAATCCACGAAGGCATCCTGTATAGACCCGGAATGGGGGGATCTGTCCTGCAACACTGCAACAACAGCAAGCTGCAAGGGACCGGCATTTTCGCCATGACACCTCTGAAACCCCAACAACCGCTTGTAGAATCTGACGACTTCTCCTTCTGAGAAAACCTGAAAGCCTTACAGCATCTCTTTGTAGTGGCCTGTCTTCTATTGTCTTACCTCTACTGTGACATTCAAGCACAGTAGACCCCACGTAGCACCTTCTTAATAACCCTCTGCTACAGTACCCCTAAACCCTCAGCCTTGAACCCCTAAACTTCCCTAAGACGCCTCAAAGCAGCCCTCACCCCTAAACCCCAAACCTCCCCAAACCGCCTTAAAGTTGGGAGTTTCCGACAAGTAGGGGATCCCAATATAGCCTAAACATTAGGATCCATATTATAAGGACCCCCAAAGAAGGTAACCCTGATATTCGGAAACTCTAAACCCTAAACCCATTACAGAACCCTTATAGATCCCTTTAAGGAACCCTTAAAGGATCCCTTTAAAGGTACCCTCAGGTACCCCTAACTTTCGGAAACTTTAAACCCTTATAAAGCCCTTGAAAGGAACCCTTATACTGTAGTACCCTTACAGTAACCCCTTTTAAGGGAACCCTAAGGTACCACCCTATTTTTCGGAAACTCCGAAAAGACGGGCCTGGAAAAGCTCGAGAGCATCGCGCCAGCGCCTCCTGGCCGTGAAGGACACCAGCCGCTGTGTGACCTCCGGCCGGCTCCAATGGGGGCTTTCAGGGTTTAGGGTTGTTTTTTTGAATCGCTCCTTTTCTCCCGGGTTTAGGGTCTAGGGCTTTCGGGGTTTAGGGCTTTCGGGGTTTAGGGGTTTAGTGGGTGGAGGGTGGTGGGTTTAGGCGTTTAGGGTTGTAGCTATAGGGGCTAACAGTGTAGGGGACAGAGCAGCAATCGAAATCTGAAAGACTTTCAGAATGAAACCCTAGAGCACAAATACCTGGATGTCTTAGGAGCCTGAAACCCTCCTCGACAGGACCCAACAACTAAGCAGTTTCCCTCCAAAGGATATACCTGGCGCCCCCCGGATGTCACATCACTAGTGTTCTGCATCCTTAGCTACCTGTTGAGTCTGCTCGGGCACTAAGGTGTCCTGCGTGCAATTCTGACGGCACAGGGCACGGGGGAGGGTTTCTGCAGCATCATGTAAAAATGTAAGATGTAGTCTGTAATATGTTGTATGGCGTTTTTACTACAACACACATAGTGTCATAGGTCGCTTTTTACTGACGACGTCGAAACTCACTTCACTCAACTTCATGGCTTCGAAAGATCGGTACAGGATCTCAGCCACATCATGCCACAGCACACCTATAGATAGTCTAAATATAAAGATTTGTGAACACTCCTTAAGGCAACAAGCCTAATATAGGGGCCTTAATTCTTGGAATAGGGTTTTGGGGCCTATTATACTAGAATAAGAACAAGGAACTCCCAGAAGAGTATTGCAAATTATTTAAGCCTCTATACTAAACCCCTATAATGCCCCTTATAGTAATACTGATAGACCCCTTTAAAAGGAACCCTATTTTAGGCCTCTATAGTAGACCAAATCCCTCAAAAACCCCACCCGGTGGCCTGTGGGGGGTCGAGGGTTTCCAGAGAACTCCGCATCTCCTCGCGTAAGGGTGACTCCAAGGGTGAAATGAGGGACCCTTAATAAGGACCCCTATGTATATACCTTTAATATATATATATATATATATATATATATATGTATATTTATCTATATATATATATATATATATGTATATAATTAGTATATACCCTTTATATAGCCCATTATAGGGTAGGGGTCCCCATTAAGGGTCCCTCCTTTTCCCCTTTGGGTGAAGTCATGCAGGGGCCGAAAATGAGTAGAATAGGGTTCCCTTTAAAGGGGTCTATATAAGGGTTACTATCAGGGATCTGTAAGACTAAGTAGAATAGGGTTCCCTTTAACGGGGTCTATAAGGGGTACTATGGGGACTATAGCGGATCTCTAAGGGTACGATAGTGTAGGTGCCTTCATGATTAGAATGGGGTTTGGGGGGGTATAGTATACTATAATTACAAGAAGGAACGCGCAAAACCCTGTTCGATTTTTAAGGCCCCTATATTAACTCTCTCTTTCTCTCTCTCACTGTCTCGCTCGAACACAGAACGTCTTCACAAAACTCGATCATGTCAAGATGAGGTTAGACATCTTCCCTCTGCCTTTCTTGAAGCAAGTCTCTGTTCTTCAATGAACTGAAGAAGGACGTGACTGTCGATCGCGATGAATGCAAAAATCAGCACACACACACACACATATATATATATATATATATGCATGCATGCATGCATGCATGTATGTATGTATGGATGGATGTATGTATGTGTATGTATATACATATGTGTATATGCATATGTACAGAGAATATACAAACATACAAATAAAGCGAAACCCTTCAGACAAATGGATCACAAACTCTTCCAAACAGCCCCTACACACCTCAGCACTCAAGCCCTGCCGCTCAACAAATCCACTTTCTTCTCGAAGTTTTCGGGTCTTTGGAACATGATCTGGAATCTCACAAACCCATAAACTTTGGAGGGAACCCAAACACCCTTTAAGCCGGAACTCAGCCGGAAGGCTTCCAGCTCCCACTTCTGTACTTGGGTGGTTGTCAAAATTATGGTCCCTTTTGGGGTACCCTAAGTAATAGGTTCCGTATCATAATAATGAGCCAAAAAGGGACCTAATTTTGACAACTACCTACTTGAAGGTCGGCAACGATTGCAATACACCGACACACGAAATACTGTAATATGTGTCGCCATGTGGGAGTTTCCGAAAAATTAGGGGTACCTTATTTTGGGGTCCTTGTAATATGGATCCTACTATTTAGGGTACTATATTACGGTCCCCTATTTTCGGAAACTTCCATGTGGATACTGAGATTCTGGGCACCCTCAGCGCAGCGTACTCCTACGCACCAGCCCTAGAACTCTCAACCCCTTTGCCTGATTGGCTTGAGCCCACCACGAACCCGCATGGCAGCCCAACACCCAAAACATACCCTGAACCCATAAAAACCCTCAACCACTTGTACGGAATCTAGACATAGCGCGGCAAAACTTTCCTGGAACGCTTGTAGTAACAACCCGCACAACGGCTAGAGAGAAGTATAGTGGCCCTTCTGCAACGTTTATACAAACCAAAAAATAGGAAGCCAACACCATCAGAGAGAAGAGTTCGAGGCGTTCCGGGCTCCTTTTAAGGGATCCTTTAAGGGCTCTTTTAAGGGATCCTTTAAGGGATCCTTTTAGGGATCCCTTAAGGGCTCCTTTAAGGGATCCTCTGAGGGCACATGGGGTCCTCCGAACCCTCCAGAAACGCAGCAACGAAACCATGGCTTTTGGGCCGAGGAAGTGTAGGGTTCCTTTAAAGGGATCTATAGGGATTCTATAAGGGTTCCTTTAAAGGGATCTGGGTTCAGGGTTTAGGGTTTTAGGTTTTAGCTTTTAGGGTCTAGGGATCAAGGTTTAAGGTTTAGGCTTTAGGGGTCTAGGGTTCAAGGTTTAAGGCTTAGGGTTTAAGGTTTAGGGTTCAGGGTCTAGGGTTTAGGGTTCAGGGTCTAGGGCTCCAGGTTTAGGGCTTAGTCTTTAAGGTTTAGCGTCTAGGGTTTAAGGTCTAGGTTCCAGGGCTGAGGAAGTTCAGTGTTTAACGTCGAAGGCATTGGGTTGAGGGCTTTGGGGTTTGGGGATGCAGGGTTTGGGGCTAGAAGCGCTTCCGGCTTTGGCTGCTTCGACCGTTGGGGTGCAAAACTGTTCGAGTTCTGGACTGCTGGGTGCTTAGGGCTGATGGCCTCCGCTGGGTTTAGACAAGGTGGGAAAAAGCTTTTGGCCGCTGACTGTGCGACTGTTGGGCTGAGTGCCTGAACAGCCCAAGCAGATTGCGACCCATGTGACGCAAAACCTGAGAAGATCCGATTGTTACCAAGTTTGCTGCCAGCTTCTGATGAGACTGAGGCCATTGTATTCCGATCCTTGCGCAAGCTTTGGTTTGTCTTGTGGCCGTTAGGGGCTTAGGGTAGGGACACGATACAAAGAAAAACAAGCCTCTCGACTCCGGACTCGGACTCGCGGCTGTGGCATATCGAAGAACCATAGTATATTATCGCACTATTACAGTATATTATGGTACCTTACGCAGGCCGTAAGAATGTCGTGGTATGGAATATGCTGGCCAGATTGTTGGGCTAGCCGTTTCGGGTGCTTAAGATGCCTGTTGGGAAAGCTGATTTAGGAGTTTGAGATTGACAAGGGTTTTGGCTATGTAGGGTTTTGGTGCCATGCCTAGGCAAAGGCATGGCTTTTAATTCGGGGCAATTCAGGAATGCCCAACCCTGTGCGGAACGACAAAAGCTTTCGAAACAGATTCTTGCCAGATCCACGAAGCACAACTACTCGTCATGATATCTTCACTCTTGACACACTGCTCATCCGACCAAACCAGCCAGGCAATTTTCTCACGTCTGCCCGTCAGCTCATACAAACAAAGCGCGGCCGCAGTGGCCACATTCAGGGAGGCTCCACCTGATATACATGCGACACGTGTAAAGACAGGAAGCAAACCGAAATTTTGTACTCAACATGACAACAAGTTTCATGTGAGCTCCGCCTGTCTCGTTTTTCAGGAAGGTCGCCAAATTCGTCGGCAGCAGAATTTCAGTATGTAAACAACTTGATGGTTTCACGACGTCGAATCCCCTCACCCACATCTTATGCAAAAAGACTGGTGGTAGTCCGGACTGACGGGTGGGGACACATGTCGCAGTCATTGCAATGCACACTTGCTTTCAATCGAAAACTTTCTGTTTTCGGCATTTAACCTTTCAAACCAGAACACCCCCACACACACACAACAACTAACGCTGTTGGTGCTCCAATCGATCTTCAGGAGGAATGACAACAAAGCTGGCAAGACTGCGAAAACGCTGGTTGTAAAGTTTCCCGAGATGGACTCCGCTCCTGGTAAACATGCTAACACTACGTGGGGCTTCAACCGCAACTGCCTAATTCTTCAGAGAGTGTGGTCCAGCTTACGAAACTTCTTGATCGGTAAGCACTCTTTGCGAAGCCCTGTTGATTTTGAGTGGCTTTTAAGAGAGTAAACCTCTGGTCTTTCGACCCTACCTACTGCCACAGTACACGAACCCCCTCACCATACTCTTCGTCGTTCAACGTCTGTTGCGTAATTCCGTTCTAGACTTGCCCTTGGGCAAAAAGTGGAACCTGTGAGTTTCCTGGGCAGCTAGCAACATTGGCGAGGTCGCGGCGTCGCAGAACGATGGATTGCAGCTGCGCATTCGAGAAAGGCAGATTATCGCACGATGGCTTTCATGCTGCAACTTGAAAACCATGTGCGCAAGCAGGCGCAACTCTTGCGACTCGATGGCACACTGCCGGTCGTTCTGAAAAGCGATTAGAAGCTGCAACCACAATGCCGTACCGAAGTCTTCTTTAATCTCTTTGATGGGAGCGTTCAACCTATGCTGGACTTGCAGGAACATGTCAACACGTCCAGGATCTAGCGTGCTCTGCCCGAAGCCCATGTTTGCGGATGACCCATCGATCAGAAATTCACAACTGTACTGACAATCGAAAGAATCAACCTCTGTCCTCCGGGCTCTGTTACTCTAGTTACACTCGAAAGTCATATGATGTTCAATGGCTCAGACCTGCGCGACCTTTCGGAAGGGGTCGAGGGTGCATCCTAATTAACACCTTGTATTCTTGATTGATGTGCGGACTGAAAAGCATCTGGCATATGCCCTTCTTTTCAAAACCAGTTCCTGCGATCCATCTTTTGAGACTTCAAGACCCCGAAAAACTTAAAGTTCCAACTTCTCCTTCCTGGAATCCAAAGAGTTATAGGCCCTAAACCCTAAACCCTACACCCTAGGGTTCATTGGGGGAAGGGGTGTGCCCGTTTCCCGCCTTACTGGGATGCTTAGGCTTGGCGGCTCCAGGTTACGGTTGGACTCTGACTAAGAGACCTTGCGCCTGTGTTTAGGGCTTCTTTGAGGGATCTATAAGGGCGACTATAAGGGGTCTATAAGGGTACTGTTTGCGGAAACCTACCATCTTGAGGACCTAAACCCTAAACCCTAAATGAGAACCTTCAAAGCACCATGCCCTGCATGCTAAACTCCACCCTCAAGTCAGATGCAACCCCGACTTCAAGGGTTGCGGTGTAGGACCCCGTGAGCAAGACGTCAGATCAGATCTATGTAACCCGAGGCCCTAAACCTAAACCCCGAAACCCCCAACACCCGAAGCCCAAAGTCCTGAAATCTAAGACCCTAAACCCTAAACCCTAAACCGGTTACTAAGACTGCCGCGCACTTGCGGCACCGAAATTCCGGTGTCGCAGAGAGCCAGAGCCTGGACAGAGCTCATGGAATCGGACCTACAGTAGAAGCCAGATTAGTGCTAGGATCCCTTATACTTTAAGGGCATGAGGATAATGATGTTCCAACTTTCTGGCTTCTACTGTAGGGCGTGTGGCTTTGCTCCTTCGGATTTTAGGTTTAGGGTTACAGGGCTTAGGGGTTCGGAACTGACGGTTGCATTATGATCGTACTTCCGAGTGACAACTATGTAAGCTTCTCGCGATTCGTGGATGCGGGGTATAGCATTCTAGAGTTTGCAATTTCGGTCCACCGTTAAGACCGGGTTCAAGCCAGACGAGTGCACACCTATGGCCAGCATGCAACCACCACCGTCTGATGTGGAGGAAAACTTACCGCAACCCTAAACCCGACGCTCTTGTAGATCGCTGCATCGACATGTCCCTTGGTTTGAGGAATCTTCCTTAGACTCGAGCAGGATTCCCCAATATGAGTTAAGGAATACTCCTTAATTCCTTTGTCGAGCCCTTATAGATCCCTTTAACGAACCCTTGGGGGTATATTTTAGAATGCCCTGACCCCTAGACCCTATAGATCCCTCGTGGATCCCTTAAAGGAACCCTAACCCTGTACTTAAGTGCTATCGGACTCCCCTAAACCCCAAATCCTATAGATCCCTTGAAAAGGGAGCCCTTAAAGGAACCCCTATAAGGGAACCCTTAACGGAACCCTTCGGGATCCCTTTAAAGGTGTTCCTTAGTGTAGTTGCTGAATGAAGCCACAAAAGTGTACACTGTTAGTTTCATAGTGGAATTATCCCAAAAAGTGTAAAGCGTATCCACTCAGCTACGACCAGTAAGTATGGATCCCTTTACAGGTTTTCCTTTCTCAAGGGATATTCCGCGATCTCATCCCTAAATCCTAAATCCTAAACCCTAAACCCCATCCCCTGAACCCTACTTGGCGGCCCAGGGGACTTAGTAAGTAGGCTATAAGTAGGGTTTTACGTACCCTAAATGGAGTTACCCCAATTATAACCCTACTTATAACCTACTTACTAAGTCCCTAAACCCTAAACCCTAAACCCCATAGATCCCTTTTAAGGAACCCCTATAGATCCCTTTAAGGAGCCCTACTTACTAAGTCCCCTGGGCCGCTAGGTATCCGCTTCGCCTCGGCGCTGACCCCCTCATCTTCGGCTCCCAGCACCTTTCCGCGAGTGGTTTCGCCAATTTTTGTGGGAGAGTGGGGGTTCTCTAAGGTTTTTTTGGTGTGGGGTTTAGGGGTTTAGACTTTTCGGGGATTAGGGGTGTAGGGTTTAGGGGTTTAGGGTTTAGGGTTTGGGGTTTAGGATTTAGAATTTAAGGTTTAGGGTTAAGTAGTTAGGTACTTATTAAAGGTACAAGTGTTCATTTCGAGATCTTGGTCTACATGAGGCCGTGGGGTGTGGGATTTCGGGCCTAACGAGCAAGGAGAGCAGTCGGCCGGAAGTGGTGACAGCGACCATGGGCCCTGATGGCCAAAATGCAAACCTTACAGCCTACCCAAAGGGATGCGACATGGAACGCTGAGGGGGGGTCTTACCGTATGTTGTGGTCTTGCCGCGTTTGATGCCCTCCCCCTCGCACACCCACCGCGATCGCAGAACCCCCATGGACCATTTAAGGAACCCGTTAACGGAAAGCCGAACTGAAAGGAACCATACTCTAGTCATGCAGCGCAGGTCCTTGCATCAGACGCAGTCGCTCTGATCTCCCGCAGGTAGCTTTGCAAGGCTTTTTCGGTTTGGGGGGTCTGGTTAGGGTTTAGGATGGTTTAGGTTACGGGTTTTGCGTCTGAGACAAAAACGCACCGGAGAGATTCGAATCTGACAAGGAGCACCGGATTCCAAGACATCCTGCAAGAAATGCTCACACAATCCTACAACCCGATGATCAGAACCCTCTGAATCCCTTCTGAATCATACGGACAATGCCCCACGAAAGATCACTGTTCAAGGCACCCGAAGCCCTTAAACTCTAGACCTCACTCTGTAAGTCCTACGCACTAAACTAGTCCATGGCAAGGATAGCTTGAAAAATCGACATGTCTATATATTCCTTCTTGGGTTTAAGTACTCTTTCAGATCGAACATGTTTCCCCCACTATGACAAAGAAAAACCCTAAACTCCATTCGCTCAAACCCTAAACTCTAAGTCCTAAAGCGACTAAACTCGTCCATCAAAAACTGTGAATTCTATTCCGGTTAGGGTTTACTCATATACAAACAAAATGTTACCCAACTATGACAAACCAGCCCTAAACACTAAACCCTTTTCACGACAGGACTGTCACGAACCCTAAACCCTAAACCTTAAACCCTAAACCCAAACGAGAGACTCCGCCAAACCGCTCTAAGCTCCTCGCCAAGGCCCAGTCCTCTGCCCGCTTCTGACCTCACAGCTCTCCGCTTTTTATGGTTTAGGCGTTCACACTCGGACAGTCCAGGCGAGGCATATGGTTCGGTAAGGATCATGGTTCAGGGGTTTCGGGGTTACGGGGTTTTAGGGTGTCAGGGTTTAGGGTTCAGGGTGTAAGGGTTTAGGTGTTTAGGGTGTAAGGGTTTAGGGCTGAGCTCCCGAGCTACGAGAAAAGGACAAACCACAGGAGCTGCGCTGAGACTTGATATTAAGGGAAACTAGAGTAACGAGAAGAGTTGCAAACTATAGTCGCTACTAGGAACGTCACATCAGGGTTTAGGATTTGTCGCTTGCCCTGCACCCTGCTAGGACGAGGCCGCGATGCGGCGATGCGGGGCCACCGACTGCACATAGGTGCGTGGCGACTCTTCGCGACGGGACACTAGACTAACCCACAGAACAAAAAACCTTCAAAATCAGTCGGCGCCAGACTTTGGGAAGGTTGGTGCTGGGAGAGCTCTGGGTTTAGGAGTGCCGGGTTTTTTTGACTTGGGAGGTTTAGGAGTGCAGGGCTTGAAAACTTGGGGTTTGAGGCCTTGGGCACCGATAGGCCCCATAGTAGTTCCTTTTTCGGATTACCGTATGGAATTCTAAATATGAACCCCAAAAAGGAACTACTATGGGGCCTATGGGTAAGGAGTGCCGGGCTTTGGGGATCACCCAGAGACTCCAATATCCGTTAATTAAGGAATATACCTTAAATTATATTAAGGATCCTACTATAATTTAAGGTATATTCCTTAATTAACGGATATTGGAGTCTTTGGGCAGTCGGGTTCACAGCCCTGCGAGTGATGGGTTTAGGCCTCCGGTGAGTTGGGATTTCGTCGCACGGTTCGGGTTTAGGGTTTAGGGTTTAGTTTTTAGGGTTTAGGGTTTAGGGTGACTAAATGTAATGGTGGTCATGTGCAAAAACGTTCGTCTTCATGATGATGATCACAGAAAATGTCGCAGCAAAAAATGACAATTGTCACGAATGGTAGCAGTAGTACTACATGTACTACATTAACCCCTAAACCCTAAACCCTAAGTAAACCCTAAACCCAAGAACCCTGGACCCCCTCGGACTCCCTAACCCTAAACCCTGAACCCTATATACTACATAGTGCTACACTAGCCCTCAACCCCTTTGCCCCATATACTACTTGGTACAACAAGAATCCTAAACCTTACTAATTAGCTGAGTTCATAAGCCCCAAAAACTTTACACTTCTAGTTTCATAGCGGGTAATATTATATTCCAAAAAGTGTAAAGTGTATCCACTCAGCTACTAAGTATATCCTATATACTACTTAGCACTAGAAAAACCAACCCTTATATAACTAAACTTCAAGTCAAGCCTCTTTCCACTGCAGCGGGCCGTTCGAAAAAGTCCTCTGCAGCGATGAGGCGGAGGCCTCTTCAGGGCTTCTGGGGATTTTCTGGTATGCGTTTAGGTGTTCGACTTTAGGGGTTTTCGGGTTTATAAGGTTCAGGGTGTATACGGGTTTATGTAGGGTTTGGGGTTTAGGTATTAGGGTTTAGTTTTGGCGTTTAGGGTGTAGGGTTCGGGGTTTAAGTTTAGGGCTTATAAGGTTTGTGTTGCAGGGTTCAGGTTTTAGTTTCGGGTTTAGGGGCTCAGGATGGTTCAGGGTTCAGGGTTTAAGGATTAGTAAGGTTTAGGGTTTAGGGTTTAGGGTTAAGGGTAAAGCCGAGGGGAACCAACGGTCAACATGGTATCATAGTAGAATAGTTCCCCGAAGGGTGAAAAGGTACCTGCTCTACTCCGACGTAAGGCGTTAACACGATAATATAGGGCCCTTTTTAAATAGAAGAGGGTTTCGGGGCCCAATATACTATAATGACAATAAGGGATGCCCTATAGCAGAATTCAGGAGTTTTGGCGGGCTTACAGGCGGAGAATTTCGAAAGCCTGGGACAGCTTGAAGTTTCTGTAAGATTCCATGTTCTCGTATAGTGTATACTTTGGCCGCAAAGTACCTATCTATACAGGAACCACTTCCGGGCCTAAGTATATGGTATATGCGTACATGGACACCCTAGAGTTTTGGCATGGCCTGGCTTAGAGCTATTAATTCAGGGTTGGGGTCTTTTGTTTCGGGGCTGGGCTTTCCAGGCTTGAGGATTGTAGGGTTTTGCTGCTCTAGACTTCGGAATTAATTCACGTAACGTCCTTAGGGCTCCTTCATGTTCCTTATTTTAACTGTACCACAATACACTCCACAAAACCTTCTCTGATTATCCGTGACTGTACATCATACTTGAAATATAGAACCCTTACATATACCTTAGAGACCCCTCAAAGGAACCCGGGATTCCGGTAACCCTTGAATCCAAAACCCCTCGAACACTCAACACTCCTTAAAACTTTAGGGCTCATAGGGTTCAGGGTTACCCTACATGAAGCCCTAGAACCTCTTAAGAGAACCCTCAGAGTTGCCAGTTTGGCCAAGGCTCCCCCTCGTCGCCCCATAAACCTAAACCCTAAAGACCCTACATACCCCGAGCGCTAACCAAACCAAAAAAACAAGAAGCAACCTATAAACCCTAAATGCCCTAAACATCTCACAAAACATCTCAAAACCATCTAAAACCCGGTCCAAAAAAACCATAAAGCCTCGCTGCTTCAGAGCGCGGAGGGCCTTAGGGGCCTCTCGAGGATCCACTCAGAGGGCTCTGTGGCTTCCCTTTGAGGGTTCCTTTAATAGGGCACCAAGAAAAGCACATAAGCAAAAATAAGGTTAGGGATTTCCCATATAACCCCCCCCCTGACAATGAAGCCGAATAAGGTAGGGATATCCCTATAAAATGCTTATGCTTATGTGCTTTTTGGGTCCCTATTTTTAAGAGTGATGACAGGGCTTAGGGTTTCCTTTAAGGGTTTAGGGTTTAGGGCTCCTTCAAAGGGGTTACTATAGGGTTCTATGATAGGGTCCCTTGAAAGGGTACGGTAAGGTTCTATAATCGGGTCCCCTTCAAAGGCTTCCTTTGAGAGGGTTGCTTCTAAGGATCTGAGGTTTGGTTTTGGGATTCCCTTAGGACGGATTCTGGGTCTTACGTGTTTTCGGGTGGTTCCGTTGGGGGTGTTGTTTCTCTTCCTTGAAGGGATCTGGGGCTTCCCCTTTCAGGTGGTTATAGGATTCCGGTAAGATGCCTTTCTGGGCTTGAACCCTACTTTAATTATTAAAGCCTATATTATAGCACCCTTACAGATCCCTTGTATCCAAGGGTAAAAGGAGGGACCCTTAATAAGGACCCCTAGGTATATACCCTTAATATAGCTATTATATACCCATTATATAGCCCATTCTAGGGTAGGGGTCCCCATTAAGGGTCCCTCCTTTTCCCCTTTGATTATAGTAATAGTATCCCTTATATAGACCGCTATTTCGATGGTTCCGTTAAGCGCTCTAGGCCTGGCCTTCCCTGAAAGCGTTTCCCTTTTTGAGTTGCTTGGGGGATTTGCTAGTGGCTTTTGTTGCGTGTTCGGCTCCGTTAGGCTTTTCGGTGGGCTAATGTAGGAACCTGATTAAGAAACCCTGGGCCTAGGGGTTCCTTTAAAGGGGCCTATAAGCGTTACTATAAGGAATCTATAAGGGTACTATTATGTAGGAGCCTGATTAAGAAACCCTTGGCCTGCAACCCCCAAAATAGTAGGATTCATATCAGGAACCCTAATAAAGGCCCAAGGTGTCTTGATCAGGCGCCTACATGAAGACAGTACCCTTATAGACCCCGTTAAAGGACCCCTAGAAACAGGCCCAACGTTTCGTAATCAGGTTCCTAGATTATTGGGTTCTTGCAAGGCGGTTAGATTATTGGGTTCTTGCAAGGCGGTGCTTTGTGACGCTCGCACTCGGCAATAACATGCGAGATCTCGAGGCTTCCGCGGAATAACACGGAGCAGAATGTGGGAGTTAGGATTAGGAGGACCCTCGGGGATATAGACCCTCTCTCCCTCATCATGCTACCCAGAATGTCTGTCTGCCCGGTGTCCTGAAGTTTAGGACTTTTTTGGAATGGGTCTTGGGATTTGCGGTTTAATGTTTTTCAATTTTAGAAGTTTAGGATTTGAGTGGGTCTTGGGATTTGCGGTTTAAGGGTTTTGGGTTGCTGCTCGGGCCGAGGATTCCCACAGAGCCTTTGGGCTTCAACGTCATGATCATTTTCAAACCTTCTAGGGTTGAAAAACACAACCCTCAGCCCTGAACCCGTCCTGGTTTAGGGCCGCTTTAGGGGTTTATGGCTTTGGGGTTTGCGGGCTTCTGGGTTCGATTTCGGGTGGGGGCTTTGGCTAATAATATCAGGGCCGGTACTTCCTCGAGCAACTCCCAGCCTTTTTGGAGGGTATGCGCTTTTCTACAAGTCCGACATGGACTATCAGAGGAGTCCTCTTACTGGGTAGCCATACTTACAACCCATATTATATAAGGGGCTCACAACCCCACTTATTACCCATGAACCTCCAAGTACTCATAAAAGGGCTAGGGCACGAAGGATTGCCGGTCAAGGGGTCGAACGCTCTCGGGTTCTAGTGTGTCAGGTACTTGAAGGATCCGGGGGCTTAGCAGCAGTTTTACTTGGTTATACCCACTGGGTATACCGATTCAGATACCTATGACCTTAGTAATACCTCCCTGAAGAACCTTGCAGGCTTTCAGCTGCAGCGTGCGCGGCTCTACAGTCCAGTAGCTCGGGTCCAGGATTTAATTCTGCCGTAAAGCTGCCCCGGGGAGACATTTGGCTTCCAAAGCATATGGAAGCAAACCATAAAACGATACTACAGTAGTAGAGCATGTGGAACCGTAGCTAACTACAGTAGTGGGTTAGAACTACGCTTCGTGGTATCCTCCTTAAGTTTAAGTGTTCTCGTGGTGAACTACATGCACGAATCAACATCTGCTCTTTATACTGCAGCACAACCACCAATGAAAGCCTTCAAAGAAAAGAGAGGCTTAGGTCCGGCACACTCTCTGTCCGGTGAAAGCTGGCGAAGTACCTCTTGGAGGGAGGCTTCAGAACCCATGTGTATCAGACCGAACTTGGTTTTTGGCAGCCGCCTCTATGTATCCATCCATCCGTCCGTCCCTCTGTCCATCCGTCCATCCATCCATCCGTCCATCTATCCATCCGTCCAATTCGTACATCCATCTGCCTATCCATCTGTCTATAAGCTGTCTGTCTATCTATCGGTTGCCTATCTCACTTTCTACATAATGATCCGTGCACCTTGCTGTTTCATCGGAAGATTTATACACAGACGCATACACACAAATATGCAACATGTGTGTCTGTATTATGTGAACGGTAGTATGCACACGAACACACTGATATACATATATGTACACTGTACACACATGGAGTTATGCTTATCTTCATGTGTGCCTATCTCCCACAAACCTGGACGTTTTTGAATTAAGCGATTGTGAAAACAATCAGTAAATAGGTAGAAAGTTATAGACATAGAAATATGTTTATGTGCATGTGTAAGATCATGAACAAGAGATATCGCTCGCCTATATAATACGAACGGATATGTGGATGTGTATACATGTATGTAGACATACAACATCTCAACATATCACGCACAGACACACACACACAGAGAAAAACACACGCGCACGCGGAGTTCCGCTTCCCATGGCATCACAGACGAAGCCCTTATCCCTGAACTGAACATAACCGAACCCCAGGATCGCCCCTACAGCTGTCCAAGGCTTTTGCTCGCCTCCTGTCTTCGACCTTGTCGCCGCTTACTATGCTCAGGTTTAAAGCTCAATTTTTTGGGATCCAGCAAACCCCATTTCCCTAAGCTCTAAAACCCTCATCCCTAAAACCCCCAAAGCCCTAAGCCTGAACCCACAATTAAAGCCCGAAACCCTAAAACCCCAAGCAGCCAAAACACAGTGAACAGAGAGATCCGAAAGGCCCCAGAGCCCTCAACCCAGCCCTATATACACCAAAAGCCCACCCTATACCATGAAACCTAAGCCTAAGCATCAACCCTAAACCCTTAACCCTAAACTTTAAAACCCTAAACCCTGAACCCTAAACTCCTAAACCCAAAAATCGCCAAGATTCATCCCCGGGCGCAGGCGCACATCCAGCCGTCTGACACCGCAGCGGCTCGGCCGTTCAGTGCCTTTTTGGCCCGTTTTGGGACTCCGACATGCCTTAATTACGATATATAAGGTAATAAGATACCCTAATTTGAAGTAGGATCCCAAATATGATCTAAGTTTAAGGCTATATTCCTTAGTTAAGGGATATGGGAGTCTCTGGGAGTGGGACTCTTGGGCTTCCGGCCAGGACGGCTGGGGCAGAAGGTTTAAATGTTTAGGGGTTTAGGGCTTAGGCGAGGCATATGGTTCGGAGTCGGGCAAGTGAAACGAAGCTAAAGGAAGTAGTCATGATGACAAGCAACAAGAATATGATTAACAAATAAGGTGACTGTGCTTCCGTAGGCTGCTTCCTATGGGATCCTACTAATACAATGAAGCAGGAGTGTGACTAGTAGAACCTCGGGAGTCTTCAGTTACAGATCACCGAGAGTGTTAGGGAATAGTTCTGTAGAGGTACGAAGTACATGCAAAGGAGGCGGGACAACTCAGGTTTGGTTGTGATCGGCATAAGTCATTCTTACAATGATTTAAGTTCGTCAGCATGTTCCCGACTGTTTGTGAAATCAAACATTTTCTACTAGACACTTCACAAGCTTGGTGAAACTAGAAGTGCTCTTGTTGTCAATCTAGGGCGCCTTGAAAGCGGGAACAGGTTTTGGTGGCTCCTGTGCTACAACACGACACTATCGTAAGCAATCCAAGGCCCCAAGCAACGAGATTACTCATTGCTCGAGCTTCTATGTTCATTAACAGGTGCTTTTGTGCAGCAGTGCCGTGCAGAGCATTTGGTCTCAAGGACGGGTGTCTTCCAATCGAAACCCCTGTTGAGGGATGCCTGTCACACATGCCCCACAACTGCTAAGACTCTGTCCAGAAAGCACCAAAACAGACCTGCTGAGTTTGAGAAATGACAGCTCGAACCTGGATATCCCACGCCCCTCACGCTCACTTCATTCCCAAACTCAAGGAAGCAATGTCTCAAGTTTTTAAGTATTTAACAGCTGGGTTTTGTAGGACCAAGTAGCCTAATCATTAGCACTGATGTCATTACGATCACTGGGCATTACCCTCAACTCCTGGACCTGAAACCCTAAACCCGTTTTACTTGTTCATGCACTTGGAAGCTATTTGAAGCAATAAAAATCCAAAACCGCAAAGCCCCACAACCCTTAAACCCTCAGCAAAACCTTTAAACCCCCCCAACCCCTTCAACAAAAATTGCGACGTCCCCTCCTGGGGCTGAGGTCCAAACCGACCAGGCCGCCGAGGTTACGACGAAAGACACCACGCCCAGACAACTGGTGCTTTTGGGGGTAAGGGCTGTTTCTTGCGGTGGTTAGGGTTTAGGGTTTGGGGGCATTGGTGGGATTTTGAAGGATTTAGGAAACAAAGCGGTCTGGGTCTAGGTCTCTGCTCGTTGGAACCTGTTTGGCTTTTGCTCATGGTATTTGTTCTGTAAGCGGGTTCTGGAGTTGATAGTTCTTTTTTGCAGTGGGTTTGCAGCCTAAGTTTAAGGCGTAGTCTGTTGGGGTTGGCGGTTGAGGCTTTGGGTTCATGTAGGGTCCATGGAGCCGGGGAGACGGCCACAACTGTTGCCACGATCATCCAGACTTGTGTCGCAATTCGGATGAACCAGCGATTCCTTGTCCTCTAAAGAACGAACTAGACACTCTTGAATCTCAAGAGAATACCTTCTGGGGGTTTCCGAAAATGCGGGACCCTAACAACACAGAAGGACAACGAAGAAAAAAGCCGTAAAGGTGGTCCTACCGCCCTACTGCCGTCTTGTCCTGAGTCGCCGGCCGGGCCGTCTTGATCAATTGGCCGAGGTTCATGGCCTGGATACTCTAGGGGCCTTAATGATTAGAATAGGGCTCTTTTTCTATAGGGCTACTATAAGGGCTAGTATAAGGATGTAGTATAGGGTCCTTAAGAACCATAGGTAATCTAATGCTTAAGGCCTCTATGTTAGTCCAGCATAATCCAAATCCCAAACCCCTAACCTCAGGCTCTGGTTCTCAGCTTGGGCCTTAAGACTTGAGAGTCTCGGCTTACGTAAGCATTCCGTGCTTTCCACGGCGTAGCCTCAGGACCTGAGAAGCTTTGCTTATCTGCTTCGATTTGTAGGAACTGACGGAGATACCGGGGGTTCGGGGTACGCCTGAGTTAAGATATAGGCCCTGATAATTAGAATGGGGTTTTGCGGCCCACTATACTATGAGAACAAAAAAGCCCACACAAAAGTCTAGGTAATTATTGAGGCTCCGGAAGTACTCGGCTGAGAAAACCCCAGCTTTGACACTCGCCCCCGCACCGCTTCCCGCCCCCAGCGCTCTACGCGAAGCCCTTGAACCCGAAACCCCTAGAGACCCGAAACTTGAGGCGTAAACCCTAAACCCCTAAGCCCTAAACCCTACAGAAGCCTCCTGAGACCCTCACAAAGCCCTCTAGAACCCTTGGGTCTTTAACCCCCCCGGAACCTCAGTTCTTCTTGGAAGCTTCGGTCTGATATGGGAGTTTCCGAAAATTAGGCGTACCTTGTTAGGGTGTCCTTATCAAAAGGGTCCTGCTATTTAGGGTGCTATATTAGAGTACCCTATTTTCATATGCCGGACACGACAGGGCCTCTCACTGTGACAGGCACTGCAAGACGTGCGCTGAAGGGCGGCATCGGAGCTTCTATGTGCTGGGGCGATCAGAGACTAAGGGGACCGCAGTGGGAGGTCTCGAGAAGCAGGGCCCGTTACTTCAGGAAGGTAGGGTTTAGGGTTTTAGGATTTAGGGTTTGGGGGTTTAGCGTTTAGGGTCTACCTATTAGGGCCCCCTAGTTTCTGAAACTCACAGGTGTCGTGCCTCTTGTGTGCACAACAAAAACGTGCAAAACCGGGCCAGGTGCCGAGGCACCTTACCGCAGGGGAAAAGGGTGGGAGATAGTCCCGGCAGTCAAAAGTAGATCTTAAACACTTTTACAAACGCCTCAGTTCGCATCGATCTTGTTCCACACGCCGGAGGGGAGGGCGATAAACTGCTTTGCAAAGTCTTCCATCTTCCAGAGCCTGGTCCGACGGCTTAGGGTTGAGGGCTCAGGGAAAAGGGAAGTTTAGGGTTTAGGGTTCAAGGCTTAGGCTTTGGGGAAGTTTTTTGTTGTTGAATCCTCTTTGCTCCCCGCCTAGGTTAGGTTGAGGGAAGTTTAGGGTCTTTTGGGTTTCCGGAGCCTGGTCCGGAGATCGCTGATTTTCTGACTGGCGTCGTTGATGTTGTGGACCAAGGACTCGTAGTCAGCCTGGAGCTGGTTTGCATACCTTACTTGTTCCAGCATCCTGGTGGTACCAAAGGCTCAAGGGTACACCAAAAAGCATAAACAAAAAACTGAAGGTTTCTTACTCTGCGGCTACGATACTTATTCTCGTGCTCTTCAATGTCCGGCTTGATGCGGATCACCAGGTCGATTTTCTGGTCCTGGAGACATAAATGAGCCTGCACCTTCTGCACCCGGCGCCCCAATTCTCCTGAGGCATACACTGCTCATGCCCTAAACTCAACATTGTCCCGTCCTGAAGGAGGATGGTGTTGTTCGGGGCCGCGGCGGGAAGAGGAAATGAACCGTTTGCACGCCAGCGCTCTGGGTGCTCACCGTGCGGGCCATAAGGCGAGGATGTGATGACATTTCCGACACCCCAGCGCTTTCTGTCCACGATCGTCTTGAGATTCCACACTACTTCCATCTCCTTGTTCAGGTAGATCAGGATCTTGTTGATGTACCTTGCCCTGGGGGGTAGCTCCTGCTTCCGAGGCGCCAAAGCTCGAGGCTCTTCGGAAAGAAAACGGCCTGTGCGGTTCCAGACGACATCATGGCCCGTGGCGTTTGAAACCAGCTGCATCGTGTAGTTGACATATCCGTTCAATATGGTCAACACCTGGTACTCCTGCACTATCGGAGTTTGAAGTGGCTGCAGCAGCTTTTTGAAGTGGTTCTTGGTCCGGGTGCTGATGTCCCTCAACCACTTGTCACTTCGGCCAGGCTCTTCGGCGTCACCGAAAGGATCCATGTCCTCTGCCTGGCCCCGTAGCTGTCCACCGGCGAAAGGATTGGGCTCGAAGAGCACGGGTTCCGCCGCAACCAGCGCAGTGAGAAGCGAGAGAGTGAGTCGAAGAGCCATGACGGAATTAGCTTCGGGACGTGATGCTCTCTGAAGCTTCGACAAAAACTTGCGAGAGGTGATTCTGCATGGTAGGTAAAGTATGGCAAAATCGTAGGTCTGCCCCTTGGCATTCGCCCCAAAATCGGAACTCCAAAACCCTAAGACCTTAGACCAGAACCCAAGCCGTTGGGTTTGTGTAGCCCCTCCATCTCCGTCTGGGAAACCAGACGGAGCCCAATCCGTCCAGAACGACGATGGGCGGCACCAGCGCGCTGAGGGGCTGCGAGAAGGGAAATGCCTGGCGCACACTCCATCATACCATTTTGGGTTTGTAGCCTAAAACCCCTACATGCTAGACTTTGAAGGCTGTAGGGCACTCGGGGGAAACCATACCATTGCCGTAGACAAGAACCATTCGTACTGCCATGACATCGGCGTCTTTCTCGCCCACGGCAGTATGTCGAAGAAGTTTCAACATCTCGTCGGGAGTGACTTGCATAGTATTATGGTATTATAGTGTTAAAGTACTAGAGTATCAGGCGGTTGCCGGCCTGTGCTCTCACCTGGCCTCGAACCAGCCTAGTATTTGCTTAAGAACCCCCAAAAAAGTAATATAGTGATTATTATCTTTACTTTTTGGGGGTTTCTTAAGCAAATAGTAGATGCATGATGTCGCTGTACCTCCCGGAGCAAGTCTGGTCTTCCTCAAGATCAACTTTCTCACGACTCGGGTCGTCGAGAAAGACTCCCTCGTCGAGCTGAGGAATGCGATGTCGGAAACTGTCTAAGGCCTTGGACCTTCTCCAGCTCGGCTGCATGTTGGGACCAAGTTTTCGTATGCGGTGCTTGCCACAACCAAATTCTGCCAGGGGCTTCCCCACCCAAGGCCAACCCAGCATGATGAGGCCATGAACGATCAGAAGAGTATATCAGTGGCAGCAACACAGTAAACACGAAATCTTTCATGCTGTGGGTGCGCAGAGGGTAATGTGACAGTGGCTGTGTGCCGGCGAGCCCACGGCTCTTGTTCTGGGCCATGCCCCGAACTTTGGACTCAGGCCAACCCTCTACTGGAGTACCCGGCTGCTCGCGTATGGAGGAACGGATCCAAAAGGTTGGCTCATTCAAGGCGTCACCTTCCGGGGCCTGTGATTTTATGAAATGGGAGTTTCCGAAAATAGGGGATCCTGATATAGTACCCGAAATAGTAGGATCCTTATCTATAAGGTCCCCCAAAATAGGGTGCCCTATAGTTCGGAAACTCCCAAAATTCATGCCCATCCTGAGCTCTTCATCGTCCGAGGCGCACTGCCCATCATGCCATTTTCCTTCCCAAGCGACGGTAGCGGTGCTCATAACAAGCATTCGTTTCGCAGCGGAACTATCGGAGGAGAAGAGAGGCGTGGGTACACGGGGTTGGTACCATGAAGATAGATATATATATATATATATATATATATACATGCATCCATGCCTGCATACATACATACATATATATATATATATAGACATACATATATACATATGTATTTACATCGTTCTATATGTTTATATATATATATATATATATATATATATATATATGTATATATATATGTATATATATATATATGTATATATATATATATAAGAGGGTGAGGGCACGTGGGCACTTATAGGATCATGGGACTGAGTCGGTAGGGTTAGGAGTGAAATCCCTGACTCCCTAAGCCGTATGGGGCCTGAAGATCCCGGTATGGGATTTCCTGAAGGAGCCCACTAGTGACACTAGTGATAGACTTGTCAGGATTCAAGGCTTTAGGCTTAGGATTGACTGTTGCCCATTCCCCAAAAAGCCGAGAGGTACTAAGGAGCAAGGGAGCCTAGCTTTTTATGGCTGCTGGGACCACTGTTTTAAAAATGGCTGCACCCTGAGAGGTCGAAGGATAGGCAAGAGCGGAGGGCCTGAAGATTCAAGGCTTTGGGGCTTTGGGGCACCAGAACGTCCCCAATCCGTCGCGGTGGTTTTTTCGGGTGCCGTGTGTAGGGTTTTTTAGGATTTCCATGGGGAGCCTCTCAAGTTAGGTTGCGCTGAAAACTTCCACGTAGAGGTAAACCCCTGAAACCAAGATCAGCCGGCATCACCACGGCGAAGCGGCAGTGAGACTGGCGGAGAAAACGAGCTGACGCTTTCTTGGCTAAGTGCGCACTCGCAGCCCCGGCATGCCTGACACTGAGCCCGCCATGCTTTTCAAACCTGAACAAAACCCTTCTGCTTGCTGCTCTCAAGCTCCTGGCTTTCAGGAGCCTCGATGACTTAGTAGGACTCCGACGGCCCAGAATAAATCAAGCCCCTGTATCCAGCCCTGTGCAGGGCCCGAGATAGTACCGTTTAACCTCGAAACCATGTCAGTTCAAACTGCTGGAAGCAGATGCTGCTAGCAAAACCGAGGCTGACCTCGTCGCGCGTTCCATCCTCGGTGGAGCAGCATCAGCATATGGGGGCAGGGCTCTTAAAACAAGGGTTCAGGGCCTCCGGTTTGACAATGAAGTTTTCGCCCCTCCCTAAGGCCTAAACTGTAGGGATCCCCGCCGCCCCCAGAGTTGGGGGGCTGAGGGTGTCTACGGGGTTCCTTGTCGGGTGTGCTCTGTCGCCGCGGGCGACTTCTACTGCAGGCAAGCATCTCTAAAGCTCCTAAACCCCTAAACCCTAAACCCTACACCCTAAATCGTTCACTGAGTTGGAAGTCAAGGCTCTTATATAGATTTCAAGAGAGCTCCGAGCCGGCTCTTTGAGTCACAGACTCAAGGAGTCTCGATTTGGGTATTTGGAAGTGTGGAGCGTGGTAGGATGCAGGCGTTTGCTTTCATGTTGCTTGCGGACGTGCAAGGTTTAGAGCGGCATACTGCAGGGCCTTAATAATTAGAATAGGGTTTAGGGGGCATGTTACGCTACACAAAATATGGAGCCCAAAACAACCTATTCTGGGCCTACGGGGCAAAGCTCCAGAGCCGCTGATCCCACCAGGATCTTCTCAGAACACGCCGAATGATGTGCATGATGCTGGCAGTCGCAGTGGCACTGGCAGTGGCAGCGGTAGTGGTGTAGCAATAGACAATAGTGATCATGGTGGTAGTAGTAGTAGTAGTAGTAGTAGCAGTAGTAGTAGTAGTAGTAGTAGTAGTAGTGGTAGTAGTAGTAGTAGCAGTAGTAGTAGTAGTAGCAGTAGTAGTAGAAGCAACAGCAGCCGCCTGGGTATGACAATGCCTGCTAAGTTTACTCGTAGTGCGCAAAACTATTGCCGAACCTGGCGCCACCCTGAAAGCACTGACCAATGAAACCCCCAAACCTGACTAGCCGGGCTGCCGTCGATCGGAACAGGCTTCGCGTCAGATGCCTGGGCGCAAGGCTCGGGCCCGAGACGTGCAGATTTTGGAATTTGGGCTTCAAGGTTTTGGTTTTTCAGGCTTCAAGAGTGTAAAGGCCTCGGGCCGGGAAGTATTTCAGAAGTTTTGAGAGATGGGCTAATGCCTTCGAAAGGCTCCAAGTCTCTGAAGTCCTGGCACGTGTCGGGCTCTGCGAAATTCGATACCCTAAACCATGACTTGAAAAGAGAAACCCCCTAAACCCTAGAAGCCCCTGAACCCTAAACCCGTAAACCACAAAGCCCTACAACCTGAGCGTTGTGTGAACTTTCGCGGTATTTGGGTCTGGGGAGGAGGCCTGGTATGGGTTTGTCACTGACTTGTAGTGTTTTATGGGACACGACAAGGGGCAAGTTCCGATGTTACTATGGTTTAATTGCGATACCCCAACACATTGCTCCAGTTGTAAAGAGTCCCATAGGGGTGTATGGTCCCTTTTGGGGTCCTTAATATAATACGGCACCTAATATAGGGGTACCAAAAAAGGGACCCTAATTTTGACAACCACCCATATTACACTGGCACGATGACGTTGCCATTGCTCGGTTGAATTTGCTCGGCAGCTTCTCTCTGCCGTTACCAGAACCAACCTGGTTTGGGCGAAGACGACACCAACGGTCATGAATACTGTGAACCATTAATATAGGGGCCTTAATAATTAGAACAGGGTTTTGGTGCCCATTTCATTATGATTAGATAAGGAAACACCAAATAGTACTCGTAAATCTCTCTCTCTCTCTCTCTCTCTCTACTGTACGGCTTCAACGTGCTTCGGCTACCCTTCAACCCTGCACTCTAAAGCCGCTGTTGCTGATGATCCTTTTCGTCGTCTCCTCGCCTTGGGGAGTTGAGTCGTCTTGTACTATCCTATATACTATACGATGTTATATTATTTATACTATGCTATACTCTATTCTGTTCTGAAATACTACTACTGCCTTGTGTTTTTCATATCATAAGTGAGGTTTGAGCATCACCGGGCTCCAAAGCCTCTGAGGTCCAGGGTGTTCTGCTTTGGGGGTGCGGGGGTTCAGGGTTTTTGGGTGGCTTTCCTGGGGTCTTGCTGAATTTTCCCGCCCGGAGCTCAAGCCCTGAACCCAAGACTCTTGATATCTACACCGTTTAGGGTTTAGGGTTTAGGGTTTTAGGGATTAGGGTTTAGGAACCCTAAACCCTAAAACTCTAAACCCTAAAACCCCGGTAACCGCCACCTCGCCGCGGCAGATTTTCCACTGGGGGCCCAGCTGAGGCACCATGTAGACCTTGCCTGCTTGGAGGTTCATGGGTAGTTATAAGGGTCCCTTTGAAGGGTCCTATGTGGGGGGGTTTAGGTTTTTTTGAGCTCCTTTTTATGTCTGCTCGACTGGTTGAGGGTTTAGGGATTAGGGCTTAGGGTAATTATAGGTGGGGTCATAAGTCCCCTAAAAGGGGTTATGAGTAAAGTTCCCTACTTATAACCTTACTTATAACTGCCCATGAACCTCCAAGTGGGTGTCAGAAACCGGAACTCGAGAACCCAATTCACTTAGGGTCGCCCTGGAATAGTACGGCCCCCTTATAAAAAGGCCCTTCACCAAGAGATGGAGGTTAACGTGGGTTATGATAATTGGTTT